CTGGGCTAACATCCATGCCCATCTTCCTCCACTTTATATGGGACGCCGCCACAGCATGGCCTGACAAGTGGTGCGTCGGTGAGCGCCCAGGATCTGAACCGGCGAACCCTGGGCTGCCACAGTGGAGCGGGCACACTTAACCGCTTGCGCCACTGGGCCGGCCCGAGACCCATTCTTGTGGACCTCTGCCACCTGGGCGGCTTAGATACAATAGGAGCCATTTAACTTACTCTAATGGCACCTAGAAATTTAGCATGATCCCATAATATCTTCACTGCATTTCAACTGGAGTATCTAGTAAGTTCTACGTCTACCGAAGCTGTCAGACATAAGACCAATATGTCTCAAAACATACAAAGCCTATTTTGAAAAGTTAAAGATTACAAGTTTCTATTAAATTTACTTAACTGATTTAGAAGTTACTTTGTTTCTTAATGACAATCGTATCAACTGGAAAGAGCGTTCCTTGAGCACCTGCTGGTGAGAGCATCAGAGTCCAGATACCTGTTGAACCAGCAATCTCCTTCTAGAACTCAGTCCTAAGGAAATAATCAGAGAGGTGGGTCATGTTTTCTCAACAAAGGTGTTCATCTCATCACTATTTACAAGAAACATTGGAAACAAAGTAATTATCCACCAATAAATGGCATACTCAATAATTGTGGTGTATTCATAAAGTGGAAAATTATTCACACATTAAAAAGATGTCAACAAAGGGTTTTTAGTCACATGGTAGGGATGGTTATGATATGATGTTAAGTGAATCATAAGATATAAATGTGCACATACAATATAATCTCAATCACATAAAAATATCTATGTATAAAAATGACCAAAGAGAGGGAAATTACTTCAAACTGAGCAGTTAACCATAGGGGATGGAATTCCTTCTTACACTGCTTTGGTTTTGTCCAAACTTCTTACAATGGGCATATGTTATTTTGTACTCTGAAAAAAAATCATCATTGGATTGAAAACAGTGAAAAAGCAATGGGAAAATGGAAAGAACTAGCTTTGGCCTAAGAATCAAAAGATGAGGATTTGGGTTCAGAGTCCTGGCCCACCCTTTGAGCATGGAAAACTCCATTCTTTCTCTGAGCCTCAGAATTTCTCACAATGTGGAT